AGTCATTTCACTGAGGAGAGAATCTACAGAACTCTCATGTGCCATCATTCTAGAAGTTGTCTCAAGTTACCCTATTTTAAGATATTTACATAATATTTTAAAATTGAGACCCCCAGGGATGATGAGTGAGCTTAGGGTTTTCTCCACTGGTTTATTTACTCAGTATACTGTGAACATTATTTAATTAAATATTTTGTCACAGTATAATTTCTGGTGTCACCTAAGAGTTCCATTGTATAGATAGACAGTGATGTATTTAAACAATCTCCGATTGGCTAATGTAGCTATTTCAATGTTATGCTAATAAGAAGCAGCATTGTAGTAAAAAATTATAAAACATTTCTTTAGAAAAAGTTCTAAAACTAGAACATCCAGAAGAAGGATTAGGCATCGTTCTAAGATTTAAAATACAATGGCAACTCTCTGGAGATGTGAGCCAGCTAGGAATCCCACCAGCAGCCTAAGAAAGTTTGTCCCTAGATCTTGAGACCACTAGAAAAGGGTTCAGGGCTGGAGATGTGGCTCAGTGACAGAACACCTGCCTAAGGACCTGGGTTCCATCCCAGCCTTGCCAAAATAATTTAAAAATAGAAAGTATTTCAGGTTATGATTGTTTAAAAAAATCTTAGCATTTCTGTTTGAAAAGCCAATGGAGCTGAAAAGATAATGCGGCTTTTCCCTCTTAACTGTGGTTACCTGCAGCCTGGTGAGGCGCGTGGACCGCATGGAGCACTCCATCGGCAGCATTGTGTCCAAGATCGATGCTGTGATCGTCAAGTTAGAGACCATGGAGCGGACCAAAGTGAAGAGACGGGAGGTGCTAGGGAGGCTGCTGGATGGGGTGGCCGAGGTAAGAAGTCATGGGCTGGAGAATGATGAACAAAGGATTCATTTCCATGTACAAGAACATGCATCACCTCACCAGTAACACCTTGGTTTCTTTTCTCTTGTTAGGATGAAAGACTGGGTCGTGACAGTGAAATCCACAGGGAACAGATGGAGCAGTTAGTGCGGGAAGAGCTGGAGCGCTGGGAATCCGATGACGCAGCTTCCCAGATAAGTCACCGGCTAGGCACACCTGTGGGACTCAATGGTCAGCCTCGCCCCAGAGGATCCCGTCCTTCCTCCTCCCAGTCCACAGAGGGCGCAGAAGGTGGAGGTGGAAATGGGAGTGCCAATATGCACATGTGAGGAGTGTTGTTGTGTATGTTCCTGATAGGCGAGAAGGCACTGTCCCAATCGCCATAACAAGTATACTATTTATATGCCCTGATTACCATATGATGCTGGCCTATGTGACTGATTGTTAATCTTCTGCACTTTAACTTATTTTATATAAATGTTACCCGTGGATCCAAGTGTTTTTGTTTGTTTGTTTGGTTTGGTTTGGTTTTTTGGGGTTTTGAGGTATTTTTTTCCCCCTCATATGAGAAATCTAGATGTAAATAGTGAGTTCAGGGAAAATCTTTGAAAAGTATGTGGAGTGTATGGTCAGTTGCCACCATGCCTGCATCTTCCCAGTTGACAGTGAAGTAGCCTTTATAGCTAGAAGAGAACAGTCAAAGGTCTTGTGAGTTTACTTCCATTCACAAAAATCAGTATTGCCACTTTTGTCCAGTGTATGAAAGCAAGTAGGACATTTCTCTCCACTTGGGGAGTAACTCATGAGTTCAATGCATGTCTTTCTTTTTAAAAAGGATTCTTTTTTTTTTTCCAACTACCTTACTGGAGTGAACTTTTCTAAAAGACTAGGTAGAAAAGAACTCCAGACCACAGAATGGGTATGTAGTCACTATGCTAGAATTTGTATGAGTGGTTAAGATAAATGTTAAATACTGTGCTTTTATTGTTTGTTTATATCTAAAATCTGTGAGACTATCTTTCATTTTTATATTATATTAGCTTTGAATTTGAAATAGTCAAGAAAACCACCAAAGACCAATTTGAAGAGGAAATGGTAATTTCAAACTTTAGTTTTGAAATTCATTAAACCAACAACAAAACTAAAGTTTCAGTTTAATACTCTCTCAAGAATATAGTTCTCAAATATTCCTGATTCAGTATTTATAATGTAAATGATGCTCAATTTAATAAAAAGGAGGCATTGGTATTCAAAGTTCATCCTTTTTCAGAAAGTACCAGCCCCATTTTGAGTGCAGCAGTTGTTTTCAATAGGAAAGGGTCTTGCAAAATTTATGGGAGGAAAACCTATTTCTAAAAAAAAAAAGCAAATTATTTTTGAAAAGTATTGGGAAATGTGGCCTTTTGATAGCTAATAGGACCAGCAAGGGCAATGTAATATTGGTGAGCATCTCTCAGTTGGATATCAGAAGGGAGTCCTGCTTTTTAATGTTGCATCTTAAGTAGTTCATTCCATTGGTGGAGTATGTCAGTCAAATCTCTAATGAAAAGAGAAGACAGGCCTTTCTGCCTTAGTGTCTATAGAAATAAAACATATTGAGTGTCTTTAACAGTCATTCCCCATGGATTCATCTCTGTCTTTACTTTAACATGCTACACCAATTCTTTATTCCTAGGTACTGAAGTTTGCATTCCAGGGGTATGGAGTGTACATATTTATGTTTGTGTACCTTGTTGTTACATGTAAACAAACTTCAATTTGAAGTGCAACTATTATGTGGTATCCATGTATATTGACCCGGTGCCATAGGTTGATTATGGTCACTAGAAACTCTTTTTATGGTACTGATCATTGTACTGTTTTTCATTTCACTTGTAAAACATGGTGAAATTCTTTTCTTATTATCCGTAAGTTCCATAGATTTTTATTCTTTAGTCATGGAGCATTCAGTCCCAGCCCTTTCCTTATCACCTTCCCACCTCTGTATGACAGGAATAATTATGATGTTACATATGCCAGTCTCAACAATCAAGAATTTTATAATTGTGTAATACTGAGCACTTTACTTCTTAATAAAGACTTGATAAAATATCAGATGTAAGAACTGTGTGTTTCCTATGTAGAAAACAGTTGGGTAATTTGCCTTTTATCAGGAGGTAGTTAATAAGGGATTAGACTTCAAAAAAGACACTTTTTCCATGTTCAAAAACAAGATATTTAATACATTTTCTTATTTATTACACCACATAAACATTTCCGGTAACCATTAAAACTTTACATACAGGGCTGTCATGCATGGTGTCTAATTTTTAGTTCCCTGAGGATTATAGCCCAAGACAAGGATTCCAGGAGGTCAGGAAGGTGGCTTTATTTGGGAAATGGAAGTGATAGACTGGGGAGAACAGGAGAGGGAAGATGTTAGGAAAGGG